TATATATATATATATATATATATATATATATAAAGTAGTAACAGTAAGTGCTCCTTACATCCTTATCTAGACTCACTTCCCTACAGGGCTCTGTAGACAATGCAGAGCTCAGCACTTCCATTTGTTGTTGTTCTGGGGGGATCAGTAATAAAGGAACTGCTATTTCAATGGCTGCATTTCAGTCAGCAGATTCAGCAAAAGAGTCGATTAAATTGAGTTTACATTTAAATGAGTGACTAATGCAGACCAACAGGAACAGACCTATAAAGCAAAACAGCTGGTGCTGAGAAACCAATGGCCATGCTACATGTGTTGGGGGGGGTTCTTATCACTACTTCTGACATGGTCCAGTGATCTGCAAGTAGCTGAGGCACAGTAATTATCCTCCCAAAGCCTCTTTTCAGTTTAGTTTCATCTGAAACAAATCAGGTCTGAGATCACACAGTGGTGATGACCTGAAGGCACTCTTGAGTTGAGCTAGAAGACAGCTCCACCTTAAGAGAGCACCAGGAGACCACCATTCCTCTGGTACAGTGAATCTTCATGGAAGAGAACTATCAGCTTCCATCACAAAGTCCCCCCCTCTCACATGGGGACTGTGTTGTTTTTTGTGAAGAAATATAGATAAGAAAAGGGGGGAAAATTAAAAATCAGAAAAAGTACCTGCCATGTGGATTCTTACACATCTAATGAAGAATAATCTAATGTGAGAACACTCCTTCACCACAACTGTTTCCAAAATCATGGACCTGTAAGGAGTGACCCATAGAAGTTCTGGAAACTTATAATTTGAGATTTATTTGTGTAGATTAGATAGCATAATCAAAAATGCCCCAAAATTACTTACACATACAAACTGCCAAAGGTAAATTGTTAAAGCCTCTTTACATCATAAAACACGCTAGAAGCGATAGCCTGGAAAGCAGTTTCTTGAGCTGTGCATTTTTTCTTTAACAGCCTTATATGTGATGGGATGTAATTGTTTACCCACAGGGGCAGATACAAGACCAGGTCATAGACACATGAGATTCCTTGTTTTACAGAGTCCTTGTTTAACAATTATCAAATACAAGGGTCAATTAATTCTGAGAGTGAAAAGCAGAAAACTGTGATTAGAGTAGCCTAATCTGCAGATAACACTGATGGCCTTTCCTGTCTTGCTCTTCCTGCTAGCTTCCTGTAGTTGGCAGTGATGGAATCCAGCACCCATAGAAGGAAAAAGCAACAACTATACATTAACCAAACTCACAGATCACTCACTGCACGAGGGCATCCTCTTGGGATCCAGATCTGGCTAAGAGACCTGAATGCAAGCTTTCCTCTACCCAAGGGAGTGCTCATACCACTAGTGCCTCCCTTTGCAGATATATTTTAAGGAGAGCAAAGATCCAGCTCATTGAGGCCAGCAAAGGCACTTTAAGAGGTTCCAACATCAGCATCTCCGTGCCTCTCCCTCTCTGCCCACAGGTTACAGCACTCTGAGATGCACAAATTCAGCTGTTTGTGTGGGCACACTTCAAACTCTTTCAGTGAAACAGTCTACTGTAAATGCAAAAACACCCCCTGCTGGGTTTTGGTTTTTTTCTAAGGCGGCAGAGGGGAAAGCTGGAAGGGAGGAGTGGGAGTCTGACTTTTTCCATCAGACTATGCCACAAAAGCTATTTGTACAGCCATATTCTGAAACAGATGAGGAAATAAAAAACTTTGAGGGTGGGAGGGATGTAGAGATGAAATGGGGGTAATGGGGAGAAACAAGACAAGCAGCTGGGACTGGAACCTCAAACTGGCTCCACTTCAGTAGCATTCATAATGGGGAACTACACATGAAGCCCATCTTTACTTTAGCATCTTTAATCAGAAAAGGACTCCAGACACACTTGCTAAATGTCTGAAACACCCAAAATGAAGCTTCAAGTCAGACACTCAAGCTTCAAAGAGAAGCAGCAGTTCCTGTGGCTCCCAGTGCCCATGTGCTGCTCACTAGTTTTGCCTGTGCCCAGGTGCAGCTCCTGGGCTCAGCTGGCACTGCCTGCATCTCCCTGCTCCTCTGAGACCCGAGTCACGGTGCTGCACCAGGCACCCAATTTTGGGCTATAACAATCCTGAAGCTGGAGATGTGCAAAAAAGACAGCCCCCTAAACTTGCCTACAAGTGCCATAATTGGACCCCCTCGCTTTTTTATTTTGCTTGTACCATGGCTAAGGAAGATGAGAACAAGAGACAGCAAGAAGAAGGGTTAGAAAATGCTGTATCTGCTGTTCTTTTTTTCCACTTTCCATCAGCTCCACTGAGGCCCACTCTCAGCCACTGCTTTTTGGGAAAGGTGCCATCCTGTACAGAATTTTCCTCCTGGTGGGAACAGCTTTGGGTGGATTAGAGAACTACTGCTGGGCAAAGCACATCTTTTTCATTAAAAATTTGTAAGGTATGTTCCCACCACTTAGCAGAACTTGTTTACATCTCAGCATTTCAGCCTGTGTTCAACCTGTGCTGTTTAAGAGGATTTTGTTTGAATGAGATATGTAAGTCAAGAGTCTTGAGTTCCATTCTGTCTTTGATGTGTACCTTTGGGCAACACATTTACTCTCTCTTGTGTCAGGTTCCCCCACCTGCAAATTAGAGATTTTCATAATTATCTTAATAATCCGTTAAGCACATTGAGAGTTTTGAATAAGCAGTGCAATGTGTAAAGGTTAATACTGTTTTTAAAAGCCAAAGCAACCCTTCTGTTACTTCTGCAAAAATACTGCATCTGATGTTTGAAAAATATAATTGCCAAGTAGATGTTAGTGCCGTAAATGTTCAGCACATGTTTGCTTCTACTGACGCACACTATTAGAAAAATTGCTTGAGACAAATTGAGATATTATAGAACAACCCTATTATGAAGCTAGACCACAAAAAAGCTTTTTTTAATTTAAACTAGATCATCAATAGAATAAGGAAGAGATGGATGAGAATGAGAAAGTTGGTTGTAATTATTTCCCTGCAGATCTGGAACATTATCTGACAGGATTTTAATTCTTGAGTCTCTATCAAAAGACTGGCAGTACTCCAAGGTCTTCAAGACATTTTGGTCCTTAAGGGTAGCAGGATAACTGTTTGAGTAAAAGGCCTTTACTTGCTATTACTTGCTAACCCTGTGCTACTCTGCCTTCAACCCCTTTGCCTAGAGTACTTGAGTCAATTCACATTTCACAAGAGAAACACAACTTTATGTCCAAAAAAAAGTAAATTACTATATACAATTATCAGAAATGTACTTCAAATGGAGAAAGATACTAAGATGCAAACGAAGTGCCTCAAATAGGTAGAGCTTTAAACTCAGACAAGGTGGGTGGCTGAACATGTGAAAATCTTGATGAAGCAAACTCTCCAGAAGAGAGGAACTATGGGTAAATAATTGTATTGCCAAAATCATTGTTTCAGAGAGTACAGAAGTTCAGGGATGCTCCCAAGGAACCAAAGAAGTCCCCCAAAAGCCCAACAAATCCAACATGCCAAAGAAATAAAACAACAACAAAACACAAACAAAAATAAAAACAAACAAACAAAAATAACAAAAACTTAAAAAAAAAATCCACATACAATCAAACAAAACAAAAAACAAGGCTAAACCCAAAAAGCAGCTTTGAAGTTACTGTCAACAACAGCAAAGTTAAGTGAGGAAGATATACACCAAAATTAAAAGTTGTTATCTGAAATGTTTTAGCCTGAACTGCTGAAAGACAAAAATAAGGAAATATGAAAATAAAACTCCAGAATAGTGCAGGTTGGAACTCCCTACTTGAGGTAATAGATGCTTTGACAGAGCAACCTTCGTAGCTGAATTCAAGTAAAAACTAGCTAAATATTTCAGCAGGCATTACAAGTCACCTAACCTTGAATAAACAAGCATTAAAATGCTTTAATTTGCCACCTGCTTTGCCAGTTATACCAATATAAGATATCATTGAATGCAACCTGCCTGGTAACTAAAAGCAGCTATCAAATATTAAACAAAGGACACATACAAAAACTTTCAAACAACCCACTGCTGGAGTAATTTCTAAAACTTTCTCCTTCAAACCAAATTAAGCACCTTAAGTTCCTCAAAGAGACCAGGTGAACTTCAAAAATCTGCCAGGAAAGTCTGTTTTTTGTTTTGGGCTGGTAATTCTCTTGTTCACCTCTCATTCCCTTTACTGATATGAAGACCAACACAAAAGCCTGTCTTGCACCAGACATTTAACATCAGAACGGAAAGTAATTTGTACAATTCTTAACTTTTATCTTGAGTCAGGACAGTGGCACAGAACAGTTACTACATAAGACCTAAAGCTGTGATCTGTTCAAATTACTTTCCATTTCCAGAACTGTATTGTGTCACTAGCAGCATCCCTTACTAAATCTAGGGTGCCAGGTAGTCTCAGCCCTTTTTACAGGAGGAAATCCAAAGGATCAACCAAGGGCAAGGCTGCCAGGCCACCTGGAAACTTTCTGTATCCTCAGCATGGTCCTCATTTTCACCACAAAGTGATGGAGCTCACAAGGAATCAAATCATTGTCATATCCTACATCCAGTGCTCACCCTCTCCTCAAATGGGAAAAACTTTGTGATCTTTGACCATGGAAAGAAAATTACTTACAGAACACCTGCAGAGTCAAGCACACTGAGTATCTCAGAAAGGATTCTTCACTTCATTAATTCCAATGTGCAAAGTAACAACTTTACTGGACAGAATTACTGACTAAGTATTACTTGTGGCATTTGTAAATACCCCAGCAGAATTCAAGCCTATACCCATTCTCTCGATCACTTTCTCTAGAAGCTCTCAAATCCCTCTAAACATCCACATAAGCTCAAGTAGAGAAAGTGGAAAATTTCTGCTAACTTAGGCAACATAGGGACCACTAGAAATACACATCCATTAACTTCAGCCTTACATGACAGGGGAGGGAAGGGGAGCAGGAGAAAAAAGGAAAAAGAAAAAAAGCCACTAGGATCAGAATCTTGGCAGACAATAGCTTGATGCCAAAGTGAAGTGTTTTACCTCAAAAACCTATTAATGAATACAGCCTAGCTTCTAAATGCAACAAGATACTGCATTAGTTTGCCTATCTAGCTATTTTGGTCACAACAATAATAATACAACTGTATTGTGTCGTGTAAGATTTAAATACTGTTAAATTTTTGACAATACTGCTAGAAGTCATGCCTACTTTGTTATAAAAAGTGTATTTTCAGGGCAAAGTGCTGCAAGAATAAAAAGTTACTCCTAGACAACGTTATGAGAAGACCATTTTGGAAACGCTTAAAAAAACAATTTCCAACATCATGAATGCTGTCTGTCATGACAATCAGTGGCATTTTTGCCAGTTTCTCAGAGCCTTTATTATTTTATTTTCAAATTCATCCTGCTACCAAAGAAAAGGAAATGCATTTTCTTTTTAATTAAAATAATTTATGCAATTACTAACAGAATATTTAACAAAACATATTTTTAATAGATCTATTTGGCTGAATTTTTCTGAGTGCCCGTATTTTCTTGTAAAAACACACTCTTCTGAAACATTTATACATTTCAAGCACTGCAACTATATGAGGATTAGAGACTGAATTTAATCCTTGAATCTAATGCTACAGTTTTACCATGCAGTTTTTTCCTTCAGCAAAAGAACATGAAGGGTTATTGCCATTAAAAGTCAAGGCAAAGCTTCCATGGACTGTAATGAGACTGGGATTTCACCCAAGGTTTTAAACTGTGGTTTGGGAAAGCGAATAAAAGTACATCTATTATTGTAACAAGTACTTACCTGCTAGCCAGACTGAGCAACTCATGTCTATCGGCTACTGCGGATTTCTTTTCCAGTTCCCACAACATCACATTGATCAGGTATGAATTCTTAATTACAATAGGCACTTCTTCAAACATGTTTTCATATGCAATATTTGCTTTTTTCAAGCTGTGGAAAAAGTTATGGAATATTTACTAATATAAACATTATCTCTCTTAATCTTAATCTTTGTTGAATTGTTGCCCCAACAAACAACAGTTTTGTAAAAATTCTTCATTTTCATAGTTCCACAATTAAACAAGAGTCAAGTTTTGTTAAGAAAGCATTTGCATGGCAAAACCTCACGTTTACAAAGACTAGGAAAAGCTGCTGTAGGAAAAATTCTCAGAAGACAAGCAGCCGCCTTGCTTTTTAATAGATTACCTATGCAAAAAAGCCTCCAGTGAGATTGTACTGACAACAGGATTAACTCTGCCCCTTCCAAAACATTTTACTGATTTTCCTGCCATCAGTGTTTCTTGAGCAGAACTAAACAGTTAGTCACCACATGATGCTGAAATACCTTTAAATAGCATAACTACTACAAGGAAGAACAATTTTCCCAATAACTGATAAGTAAAAATTTTACTGACCAAAAAAGTAGATTCACAAAATATTGTATGTTTTAGAATAATTCAATTCTGTGGTGAACATTAAAACGTACATTTTTAGTGTGTATTTTTTTACAATACACACATAAAAAACTATTGTTGTTGCCTTATAATAAAGTAAATAAAGTCACAGTAATACTTTACATTAAAATGGATATAAAAGTATGATTTAGAAGTTTCTAAGGAAATAGAGCCTTAACTTCTTTAGATTCATACTAGATTTTGGAATAAAACCTTTTGCTTTTTGCCTCCAATCCCCCTTTTTTTTTTTTGACTGATCACAGATTTGTTTGCTCATAATTACAGTTTAAGACACCAAGCAATGAAATGAATACATTTTTCCTCAACGAAGTGATTTTAACAAGTTGTTTGATCTTTTGCTATGGAACACCAATCAGTTGGAGTCAAAGGATGCTAAGGCCTGCATCTGTAACAAGTAGCTAATCTTTTGAAACAGAGTAATTATCCGACTTTACTCCAGAAAATGGTGTCCACATGGGGAGTTAATTTGGAACAAACACATTGGGACAGCTATTCCAGAATACCTGTTCCATTTTAATTCTGGGGGAAAAAAGAGCTTAAAGATAGATCATCTATTTCCCTTCCCCATTTTTTTTTTTTTTATTTTTCTGTTTTCGGCTCTCTTCCCACATACAGCTATCTACATTGTGGTCCTCACAGCATGCCCTCTTGACTAGCCCCAACCCAGTTTGGGTGCCCCACTTCTGGAAATGCCCAGCCAGCCTTTCAGACCCCCTCAGCCCACTGTGCTACTGCACAACTGTCACAGCCCATAGAGGCGCGTTTTCCCCAGCACACACCGTTACATGAGAGTTTAGAATACAGTGTTCCATAATCCCAGGTACCCTTCTGCATCCCAGTAACTCAGCAAGCCCTGTGAGAAAACATTATTTGAATTTACTTACGCTTCTGGAGAGAAGTCTTTTTCCTTGCAAACTTCCATCAATTTGGGAGTCAGCCTATATGCCTTCAGTGACAAAGACCCTTGGGCAGTCTTAATGGGATCTATTATTAAAAATGAAGGAAGCCTATTACTACCTAACCGAGACTGCCTTTTTCTTTTTAAATATCTGAATGACATAAACAGGAGGGAAATTACTAAGTTGTCCTAGGTAAAAAAAAAATTAAGACAACAAACACAGGAAAGACACTATATCAGAGGCAGTCCTACTGCACTGTATGTGAAATGCAACCAACAACCCCATTAAAGGTCTAATTCACATTTATTTTTTTATATTAATTATCCACAGAACTTATGTAAGAGTGACCTCATTTAAATAAAGATTCTTCCTTCCAGTCATTCTGCAATAAATTAAAATATTCATTAAATATCATTTTATATGAAAATAAAGTAATTTTAGAGTAGCAATAACCTAATTCAGATCAAGCTGCCATGCTGCTTTGTGCATGACAATGTAACTGGTATATACAAAGATCTGTTTTGCCTTGACATATTCTGCCGAATTTAGGGGGAAATTTTCTAAACAAACTGTTACATTCCTTGGACAAAGAAGCTTAACACTTGCAGCATGATAACAGCTGAAGCATGCCAACACAAGAATAAAAGCTGTGTTAACATTCATGTTGTCTGAAACTTAACACAGTAAAACTTTTAGCAATTGGTGATAAAATGAAAACCAAAATAGACTGAAACAAGTGGAAAATTCATCAAGGTCTGATGATGCAATGTTTCCAGCCAATATAAGTATACTTTAACAACTTGTTCTTTACTGTAATCCAATTGTTAACATACTGAAACAATTTTGGGGCAGCTCATAAGATTGATCGTATTCATTAGTATTTTTTCTGACAGATACTCAGGACGTTACATTTACTTCTCAGCTGGAAACTATATGCAAGTCTGCCAGATATGGCAAACTGTGAGTGTTTGGGGAGGGGGAGGCTATAAAGCTGTTAAATTGCCTACGGTTCTGATACAGCACAGAACATCTGGTCTGGAGAGCTTGAGGAAACACCATTAAATAGGCAGAAAAGAAAAAAATCTTTGTGCTAAGAAACAGTCCAGGTTTTGTATGCTTCTGTCAGAGGTATTAAAAAAACTTGGCAATTCGTGTGATGATTGGTCAGTCACGTACAGAGCCAGACACGCTAGCAAGCGGGGTTTGTTAGACATCTGGTCGGGTTCCACCAGCCCCTTCCATGAGGGAGGGGAGATGAAGGAATAAAAATGAAGCAGCTACTCCAGCATTCCAAAACGTACACATCAGGGCTCTGATAGCAAGAAAAATAAACAGAAAGAAGGAAACCCTGTCTAGACTTAGCTGCTGCTGAGGCTGCCGTAGACACAGGGTTGGTATTTACTCGAAAAGGCCTGCCAGGCTACTCTTACAGGCAAAAGACAGAATACAAAAATAGTAGTAATAATATTAAGAGGGGAAAAGAGTAATAAAGGAAACCTCATACTAACCGTAAATGAGAACTACAGACTCCTCAATTGCATGCTGGTAACTGAACTGGGAGTCCAGGAGGGCACGGGTGACAAAAGAGCCATAGTATGTGGACTGGTACCAGCCAACGTGAAGATGATCAATGTTTACATGGCGCAGGCTTCGCATCATTTCCATCTGGTATTGGACTGGAATAAATAAAAAGCATGTTAAAAAAGTAAACTTACACAATCAGTACTATTTAAAGAGAAAGCTTGATATTAAATGAGTATGCTGTATTTTATTTTCATTTTTGCAACTGCCTAGAAATTTCTTTACTCACTGGACTGTCTTCATTAAATTCCAAAGTTTCCTCAGAGAATGAGAGTAAGACCAGCCTGAGTAAGCAGACCTTTTTCAGCTGCAGTTAATTGCAAAAGTGATCAACAAACTGTTACACGTCATTTACAGTGTGCATTACCTTCTGCATTCATAAAAAAAAAAAATCTGATACTGGGTTTCATTAAGCAATAACATTTTACCATTTAGTAACAAAGACTTATTGTGATTTAAGTTGCAATACTGTCTGGAATTAGGTAACTTTTGGAATCAAAAGGAGAATTATTTAATGAATATATGGAAGAGATTATAAACTGTGTCTTTTCCACAACATAAAACTACATTTTCAGTATTGAAGCTTGGGAAACCAGCTATAGCTGTTAAGATAGTTTTGATTGCATTTTATTTCCAATTTTCAGCACTGTTTCTTCTTTTTAGGTGTATATAAATGCAAAGGATGCATGCATGTATATATTATTGTTTTTAATATATATATATATATCTAAATACAGCAAGTTACCTAAAACAGTAGAGAACGTATTTTTTTCTATTTTTCACACCAGCAGCTGTAATGTTTCATTGTACCAACACAAAAATTCTATTTCTATTAAATGCTTCATTTAAACAGATCACCTTCATGGAACAGAGTTCTGTTGAGGAATATTTAACATAATCCCATCAAACAGAAAAAGACACTTTATCACTTATCAGACCTCTTAAATAGACAAACACTGTGCCTGCTGGTTAAATTTCAGGAAAGAGAAATCAGTGTGATTATCAGATGAACCAATATTCGGAGCCAACTCATAGGAAATCAACTGCAACAACACTACACAATCCTTAAGTTCCGTCTGCAGCTGCAAAAATTACAAAGATAACACACGCACACATACCCCATGTGTTCATTTTTGGTAATTTTTTTCAAGGCTTCTCCTTGTACCGATGCAAATATGATATCCATTATAAAAGACAGAAACACAAATTAATTACCCATAGAATGTGCTACATTCTCAGACCCCACTTCATATCCTTTCAAAAGGGGGGAAAAAAATCCAAACATATTTAAAGATATGAGGAGACATTCTTCAAGACTGGACAGATAATTTTCCAACTTATCACTCACCCTTGCAGCACAAACTACATTCTGCAGTCTTCTTCAATTGCCTTTTCATTAAATTGCCATATCTGACTGACTTTGTACTAAAGTAACTACACACTTACAGAAACCCTTGCAGACTTCTATCAGTATATGCTGATGATTGCATTCTATACCCTAGTATCTTAATAGAAATTACTTAAAATTTGTGTTTCATCCAGGGCCATGATGAATGAATCCTGAATCCCATTCAGGATAATACAGCATCCTGAAACTAATACAGCAAAACCACCCAGGCTTTGTTCTGAAATGCCCTAACACAGACAGTGAATGGGAGACCTGGCTTGATGTGAGTGTCTCTAAACCAAGGCAAATCTGGAGGTGGCTCTACACTCTTCAGGGCAGCCTGCACAATTGATCAAACAGATATTTCCAAGTCAGAACGAAAACCTTTCCCCTTGCCAAACCTAAGCAAGCTCATTGTACTATTTCCAGAAACAGAGGCCAGGCTGAATGAAGCTACTTACCCAGAGCCTAATGCTTTTGCATCTCAGTGTTTAGCTCAAAAGCAAAGATCTGTTTGTCAAAGAGGCTCAGTCCTTAAACTTTAAAAGATTTTGTGGATTTTTTGGAGGTGAAAATGGTAAGTTTCTAAATTTTATGATTAAAACAAGAACACAGATCTCCTCTAAAACAAACTAAAGACTCCTCAAGTAAACATGATTTTGAATTGAAAAAGTAATAATATCCAGTTATTAAATGTAGCTAGAATAAACTCTCTTGGTCAAAACAAGCTTTTCAAAGATATATCTGTGTAGAAAGCAAGAATGACTTGTTTTTCACATGACTTGCTACAACATGCTAAAAAATGAAATTATAGTTAGATCCTTTGTAGCCAAATGAAATCATTAAGAAGAAAAACTAGAAAGGATTTTCAAAAGCAGTTGAAACAGATAAAGGATTTTGTGATAATTAAATTAAATTTAATTAAATGTGGATTTTTAGATAGCTGAGTTAGATTTCTTGCAGTGGCAATTCTCTTGTGATGGTGGACACACTTAAAGTAGAGGTGGTCATGTAATGATGGGAAAAAGATACTTAGACATAGATTCCTATGAAATCATGTGGCTGATACATCCAGATAATTTCCACCTTGAGAAGTGTCATATCCAAGAGCAGGAAAATATCCAGATCTTTTACAAACTTGAATGAAGGCATATCATGCTCCAAAAAAATGTTCTTCTGAGAGCTAACTGGTAACCAAGTTCCAGGACAAGTTCTTTTCTTAAACACAGTACACCCAGCAACATGTAAGAGATGTAAAACGATGCAAGAGATACTATCCAGAAGAAAAAGAACACACTGAAAACCATCCAGATTTCATGTCAGCAATTTCTCCTCTCATGACTGTTAGCAGTCAGATGATAATGAAGGCAATAGTGGAAAAAATGTCAAAAAACCAATAAAGCATCAATAGCTAACATCTTTGCCTTGGGAAAACAACTGCAGAAATTAAAACATGATGCAGTCCCCACCAGGGAGAAATGGAAACTCTTTTAACCAAACATATATATTTTATAACATGTATTAGTAGCTAGATAGCTCCAACAAGCTGCCAACTTGCACAAATGGATAACAGCCCCCAAGCTGCTTTTGTTGATACCTTTACCACTGTTTCTTTACATTGTTTGCCCAATCTACAGAACATCATCTTTTTACCTAGCAGCTTAGCAAAGACTGGGCAAGAGCTCCCTCTCTCCTTCTATTTATTACTCAATCTGCTAGCATTTGGGACAGTTGTGAACTTTTTCTAGTGAATTCACTGTTTCGTGTCACAGTTGCTCCAAAGCCACTCTGCAAAGCTGACACTGAAAGAGCCACTTGGTCTAAGAGTGCCCAGAACTGAGGTGAGCAAAGAAAAGGGCAGGGGAACAGCCAGACCAGGATGCTGCCTCCTTCTCCCTCACATTTAGACAGTGTACCTACATTTTAAAACAAACTATTTGTTCAGGGATATCTTTATGATGAAGAAAGCCAACAGCCACACCTGCACTTCCCAGCGGTGCTGCCTGCACTGAGAACATGCAAACTCTGTCTCCTGAGCACCTGAGATTCTTAGATTTTTAAAAGATTCTCTCTTTTCTTAATATTAAAAAACACCACCTCCTTCCCCTAAAATGGCAATTTTTTGTTAGTTTGCAAACAAATAGGCAGGGGGAGAGAATTAAGGAAGCTAGAAAGCATTACTATAATCTGGCTAAAGCAAACAATGTGCAAAACTATACAATATGGGGTTTTGCTCGAAAATTATTGACTTGTGTGGATTTGTATTACCAAAATGCCTTGACTGACAAATCTTGACAGTAAACCTTATTACAGTAGTTTGCTTTAATAAACACTGTAGAAGATTTTTTTTAAATAACAGAATAGCATAAAGACATTTTCCTTTTGTAGAAAGTACTGCCAATATTAGAAAATTTATCTAGGCTTTAACATATAGGACATATATACCCTACCTTACCAACAAAAAACACCCTCAAAAAAAACCAAACCAAACCAAACCAAACAGAAAAAAACACAACCAAAGGAAAAAATACATATTATATAAGATACAAGACAAAGAATTGAACCCTGGTGTAATGGCCCATTCAACACTGGGACAATTCAGCCATGTTTTCTATACTTTAAAATATCTGGTCAGTAATTCCAATATTTGAAAACCTAATTTCAGAACAGGTCAAATCAGCTGAAGCATTGAAAAAAATCCCATCATTACTCTAAAATGCAAACAAATCTAAAACCCTAAAGTTCAAAAACAACTAGCAAATTATGTAAGTTTACTTATTACTGAATTGTTTCTTTACAAAGAAACATTCATTAGAATTCACCTCTTGTGGGATCACATATGCACATTGCTGAAATTCAGTCCTTAAATAGTTACTGTTATCATCAGAGGAGATGCATTTCAGCCTGGCCACATTCAGACTATCAGTAACTATTGTGACAAGTGAAACCCATGTGATCAATAGTGGCCTGGAGGCAATATACTTGATGACACCTCACCGGCTCAAGACCTTAATTTCTTAAGTTGATACACCTTAAGAAATTTGATTTTAAGAGCAGCAATCCACCTGCCTCCTAAAAAGGCATGCCCCATTGGAATGGAAGGACTCTGTAGCAGTGTTAGGTGCCATAGACTGACTGGTTTTATGCTGCTCATCACCAAGCTTGCTGCAGTGGACCTTGTGCAGAAGAAGTAACAACCAACTCTAAGCTACAAACCACTAACATCTGTGTAGCCTTTGGTCTGCCACTCACAACTCAGTGTTTGCCTCAACCCACGTCTCCCAAATTTGTCCTTTAACTGTTCTCAAAGAGCAGAAGTTGCATGTGCCTTCAGGAGGGCAGGTCACTGGTTCAAGAACAAAGTGGATCTTTACTGCTCCCTCACCTACAGCCTCCTCACAAAGATACTCTCAAGAAGAGTGAATCTGAGGATAAATATTGTTTCCTCAAAAAATGCTGAGCACCCAGAAGACAGACAAAATAAAACTACCTAAAATTTACACAAAACTAGGCATACTGTCCAAGGGACATAAAAGTGCATCATAAGAGACAGCATCTAGTTTCTGTGCTAACACTTCTCTGAATTTAACTAGTAACATGAACATAGCAAATTTAATCTGGTCAAAATATACTGAAAAACAACCAAAATATTCCTTTTACAGGACCACTATTAATGTGGGTAGTATTTTTAATGCAATAATTTATCTG